TTTGTAATAAAAGCATCTTTAGAATATATCGGATGGTAGGGACGGGGAGAATAGATATCTGGAGGGAGAGTAAAGAGAATTTGAGTGATAGGATAGTTGTTAACTGAAGTATTTAAAGGGCGGAAAAGGGCATCGTAATCAGATAAATCCAATAAATCGGAAGACATCTTTGTGGATAATGTTGACTGAAAATTGCCGAAAACTCCGTCATGATATTTTTGCATGTTCCTGTAGCACAAAGGATAAAAATGTAACCTCACGTGGTCTAAATCATGATCCTCGGATGTACGTATTGTACCTAATATCTGTATATGACATGTAAAGAATTTAAGAAATAAGGATATAAAAAGGAGAGTGGTTAAACGCATAATGTTTCGAATTTAATAAAGGAAAATTCTGTCATAGCTAAAATGAACATTTCTTTGACCTCTACAAGTGACTGTAGAAAATTACTATAGAACTAACTGGAATTATCGATAAAATCCCATCCAATATTTGTCAAACAGTCCCGAATCAATGAAGTAGTGAGTCGTTGAGACTACAACATTTATTAGCTTATAGACTATCCCATCCCAAAATTTTTACACGCATTCACAAAATTTAAGTGTCTCTTTAACAAAAACCTTATCCTTTGGCTACATGAACTCGGTTTTTGTGAAATTTTCAATACACTTGATTAAATGAAGTGAAAATATCATATATCCTAGACTAACTACTTTTATAATATCATAAATGCATGTGCAAATTTTATCACAATATAAAAATATCTTATTGTTAGTAAAATTTGGGACGGCTTTATTTGTCATGTGCTAAAATCGATTGGTACTAATTTAGGTTGTTTTCTCAATGATTATAAAATCAGATATAAAACTATTTATATGTTATACATTTTAAACATTTTTATAATCAACTAAATTAACATACCTAATATAGCTTTAAAATTTTTTATTAAACTTTACAACTACAAATGCCTTTACATAAATTAGAATGTAGCTAGGGTTGTTAAAAACTGATAATTTACATATTTTGATGGTAAATTATATTAGATATAATAGAAATATAAAATA